TTTTCCATGAACGGTTCTGGAAGCAAAACACAGTTCTGGAGCCCAAATAAAAAGAGCACAACTGACGGAGTTTGTAGAGAGGGAGAGAAGAGCAGAGCAAATATGGAAAACAAATGAAAAGGTTAAAAAGGACCTGAAACGGAGGCTGAAACCATTACTTCTATATTTCACAATATTCACAAAATCAGCTAAACTCAATTAACTGTCAGTCTATTAGATTTGGCTCCCTCATACCAACAACATACTGTTTAAGAGTGCAATTATTTTTTTATGCCTAAGTAATTTCATGATTTAAGTTTTGTATTAATGAACCTGTATATCAGACTTCAAATTCAGAAATTATATTGAAGTGCTGTGCAATTAAAAAATACTTTCAGAGATTAAATGTTATTTTCTTGAAATAATTCAAATCCAGGTGAATAAAAATAAGCCATAGTTATGATAAATGTTTCCCAAAGTCTGAACTAGTGTATGCATGTTAAAGAGCTATTTGTAAAAAAAACATAATGAACTTGACAGCACTAAAAGGTCTTAATATGTTTTAAAGGGAAATATTAAATGTGTCATCAACATAATTATCCTGCTATGACCTGTGTAAACACACCTGTTAAATTTATTACTGCATTAAATGTTCTTTTCCAATGCTCTTGCTACAGTACAGTAACACCCACTGGTGACTGAATCCCAGATTAATGGGAAGGAAATTTCTGAACCACTGTAAAGTGATCATTCTTACAATGGAATATTAAAAATTGTATGATTATTCTCAATGGTTAGGGAGAACACTTTTCCTTCCTTTTTAGTTTCGCCCAAGGTTGCTTGACTGCAAACTCAGGAAATATAGCACACCTTAAAAAAATAAAAACTGAAGTGATATTAAGGTATGTGCTGGGCCAGAAATGCTTTTAAAAATAATTCAAGAATCTTTTCACATGAAATCTTTGTATCATATCAGCTAAGGTAGTTTATGTCAAACCTTAGATCTAGCATGCTGATAGATTTATCTTGCAAAAGAGCACAACTGAAAATAGTTAAATGGCTAATTATGTGTGATTGCTGTATGTTGTTGTATGTTCTTAACAGGTGAAAATGAAAGTTAAGACTACACAGATACAGTATGTTCTCTTTTTTAAAGGAAGGATCCACAGTTGTTTAATTAATTGCAATAATTAATTTGCTCTATTCACTAAGTGACAAATATTCAAAACATCTCATTAACATGCACTACAGAATATAGTACTGGATATGCCATTCTGAAATCAGTATACAAGATTATACAATCCAGGTTTTAAGAGAATGTCCTACAGTACCCTGACAAATTGAAGCAACAGAATATTTTTAGTCTTAGAAAGAAAATTCCATGGAGGCTTTATACAAACAATCAAAATCCTCAAGGGATAAAGATAACCCAGATGACTTATTCTAAATGAACAGTGAACATGAACATGAGGGCACTACTTATTTTCCCAAAGGATTGTGGGAGTATGGAACAAGCTACTTAACCATGTTGTTGAACCCAATGCATCTTTCATGTTTTCATCTAATGGCTGAGATCATTGGATAACTAACTAGGGTTTAAATGGGCTTTATTGTGTCCTTTTGTTTTTAACCATTCTTATGATACTAAGATGTTGTCAATCAGGTGCAGAGGTATGTAGAGCAGAGTGGCCAGTAAGACACATCGAAGGTGTTACACAAAGTGTTATGTATCAAGAGGCTGAGACAGTCCTGCTTTTACAGAGCATGAGAATTAAATATTAAATGCCTGAACTGAAAATAATGCTATGAGTTTATTTCCATGAAAAAGACGGACCAATTCAGCCCAGAAACAATTTTGGCAAGCATGGTTTATCCTGAGGTTTGCATAAATGTTATCTTGAATGAAAATCAAAGAGCGTCAGCTAATGAACATGCTAATAACACAGCCTTGCAGAATTCTGTGTCCTTGGGGTTTTATTTTCCCCATCATTTAATCAATTAATTAAAATGATAATTAAGTATCAAAAGGAAATAAGGTGTTATAATGGGAGTTATTAAATACTTAGAAATGTAGTGGTTCTTTAGCACCATGATTGTTATTAGAGATTAAATATTCTATTTACGATTACTTCACCATAAGGAGTCCATCATTAATTTCAAGCTGTATGTGTAACCATGTAGTAAATCAAACAAAAACTAGGAGACAAAGTATATACACATACACCTTTGGTTTAACTAATAGGGAGAAGTAGTGTCCACCACTGTCGAATATCCGTTAAGTCATGAATGACATCAAGCCCAAAACACAATATTATACATAAAATATATATCGTCTATCTTATATAAAACTTGGAACATACTTTAAAAAATAAAGACAAAGAGTAGTTGTTTAAATTCTCAGTTAGCCAACACAGATGCCTTACTGTAGCTGTCTGTAAATTATGTAAATTCTGCAGGCAAAAATGTTTCCTTCACCCAATAAATTTGTTTACTGTTTTCAAAGGAAACTAATAGTGATTGCATCTCCCTTAGGTAATATTACCATATACGATCTTCTCAAATGAATAATTCAAGGCGGCCCATTTGAAGTGTTTAATATTCAGAAAGCACTATCTTAGTCAAGGTCAGCATGTTCAATTCAATTGACTTCTTGTTATCTATTTATTTTTTTTAATTTCATGCATCTTTAAGATTTTTAATGCATATGAAAGACTGAATAGATGCTGCCAATCACACAGGATAAAACAGGAATTATATGTTGTGATTTTTTATCTAATCATTTCCAATTAAACTTCTATATACTTTTAACAATAGTTTCACAGACACTGATTAGCAATGCTCTGTGACTACCTCATTTCAATTTTAATAAGCGCAGGAGTAGTGTTTAATAGAAAGCTAGTGAAACTAGCTGTAAATGTTAGTCTTTAAGCTTAACAAAACCTAAAATGGACTCATAAAAATGTGTTTTTCTGCTTCTTTAATAGTTAATGAAGAATTGACAAATGAACCGATACTGCTTTAATCCCTTAGGTTGTTCAGGAATTTTGTTAAAAAGGTCTGTAATCCTGACATGGATTAATAAAATACTTCCTAGCTGTGCATGTAATGTTACTTAAACCTGCCTGAAGATGTGCTGTGTTCATAAACATAAAAAAATGACTGCACAATACTGACTGCTTTACCTGTTATAAAAAAGCTGTCCTGCCCCTTGACTGTCCAAACTCATCAGGAGACAGATTAACGTAAACTCTTTATCCTGATTTAGATTTATTACACATAAAAGCTGCATACATACAGTACTTCACCAAAAGTCCACAGAAGCTTTTAATATTCAAATGTATAATTTGGGTCTATATATTATGGCTGAGGTACATTATATATTGGATGTACATTTTATTTCAGGTACAGTATGCTATAGGTAAATTGTGAGTATCTTGCATAGAGCACCTTCATGTTCATAATGTGCCAAGGACAATCACTACAAATTATGGGAATGACTATAAGCTCTTGCTGTTTCACAATCCTGAGGAAGCTGAACCATCTAGAGTGACTTCTTATTTTGTTTTTTTCCATATATAAAGTTAACAAACAGAATTGTTACTACAATAAGTAATGATATTTATACCCATAATATACAGTAACCACATACATGGTGTACACAAAACTTTTATTTATCACTAAAGATGATTTGTTTCCACTGCTGGTAATTATTCCACAAAGACATTGTTCTCCTTAAAGTAGAATGTTTGTTCTTTTTTTCCTTCCTGTATTTTCTTTCGTAATTTTCACTAGCTTGACATTCAGAAGGTTACGTTACCTGTGTCCAATCAGCTCTCTCACTAAAGAGGTGATTTAGTGCTCATGCAATTTAAAGTCATTTAAATGACTTTAAGGAATCAAGAAATGTATTCAGAAACAATGCCCACAAATCTTCCAACTGCAAAGACAGGGAAAGTATCCATGGACTGAAGAATTGCTAATATAGTGCCCTAGGAAAGGTGACAATATGGGTAATATGGATAAATAATTACAGAACAATAAGTCTGACTTTGAATACAAGTATAGTTATATAAATAATTTTTACTATAGAATCACCTGTATAGAAAGAATGTCTTGTAATTTCTAGGATATTTGTAGGGATTAGTTAACATGGATTTAGAAAATGAAGGTGTTGCCTAAAAAAATTGTTAGATTTTGTCAAACAAGCAACAACAGCAATGGATACACACAGATTTTCAGAAGGCCTTGGTAAAACCATGAAATATGCTCAAATTACAGGTGGTTGGCATTAAATTGATTAATATAAAGAGAGAGCAGAAATAAGGTGTGAATGTTCAAATATAGGAGTACCTCAGGGACCTATCTTAGAGCCACTGGTCTTCTATACGTATATCTCAATGAAATAGATTCTGGAATGGTTAGTAAACAATGTCATTTTTGCAGGTCATACCAAATTATGAGGCTAAGTGAACCCTGTATAAGCAGCAAATCAATAAAAAAAGATAAAGACTCAAAGACTGTCAAATTACATTTTATGTTATACCGTGCTGGGTTTTGAGTGGTGGTAGCAAAAACAAACTATAAATCCAAAAACAAGAAACAGTGAACCAGAAGAGGCTACCCAAAAGAAATATATTCCAAAATAAACTGCCTTCATAAATAGAATTGTAAAAAAATGATGTGTCTGACTTACAGGAAATTTGACTGCAAGGTACTCAGGCCATTTTTCCTGGGTTTTTATACTTTGCTTCCATTATAGCAATGCCAAATGGTTTGTCCTATTAACAGACATTACTTTTCTTTTCTTTGACAAAAATGAAATCCCAGTTATTTCTCATTTCAGTTCTGAGCTTTGCAACAAATCAGAATACATGTCTAACAACACATGGAACATTATGTTACTACAAGTTTATCCTTTACAGACAGTACTTAAAGATACATATTTAAAGATGAACATAATTCCATGTGCAGTCTATTTATTCAACGATCACCATAAAAATTTATTGAAGACTGTATTTTACCTGTATAGCAAGTGCTCGTGCTACCACTGCTCTGAGGTACTGCATAGGATCTTCTGGGCCTTCCCACTTGCTCTGCCAGCTCTGTGGACACTGAATAGGAGAAACAAAGGTTTTAGGAATGCACCAAATTGACCTTTTTGAACTTAAATATTATGGCCCCATAGCCCCTGTTCTGAAACACATTTACATTTTTTCATGTGTTTCATTCATTTTAATTTTTAGTAACAATATTATAATTTTAGGATGGGACAAAGATTAGCAGTGCTTTAGTACTGCTACGTCTTCCATCTAGATGTTTGCTGTATGTACTCCATTCACTGCAAGGTCCATTTATACCCTGGAAGGATACCCTGGCAGTCCATGGCTGGACACCTGCATAATACAATGTCAGGTAAATTGAAATCAAATCAGAATAAATTTAAACCGCTCAAAAATTGTTGTTTTTAGGTTTCTTTCCTTCATGGCATATTACGATAGATGGTACATATTAAAAAGCAATGGTGATATTGAGGGAATATTACAACAAAGCACTATGTCACTTCTGCCATATACAGTGCTCTTCTTTTCACAAAGGAAACCAGGTTGAATTATCAGATACCATTTTGCTTATGTCTAAATCTCACAGGCCAAGCAAAAAAACCCTACCACAATTGTTCATTACATTAAAAATGCAAGTAATTAACATGAATAAATGTAAATGGTGCAACTAATAAGCAAAGTCTGACATTTCAGAGGAAGTCATTAATCAGCTGTAACTCACTGTGAAGGTGATATGTTTTGACTCTGGTCACAATAAGGTTGATTTGGCTGATACCAGTTATGCACTGCATACGGTAAATGGAAAACAGTTTCGTTGATGCCTCACAGCATATCATCTTTTCAATTGTAACAATTATTCTCTAATTAAGAGCTATAATTCAGTAAACTTGAAGAGGTATCCTATTTCTTATGTGGAGTCAAGAACCAACTTAATGCAAAATAACCTGGATATGCCTTATATTTTCTTCAAGTAAAAGTAATAAATAAAAATGTCACTGCAGTACAAGTGATGATGAATTATTTCTGCTTATTCAATAAAGTTGGTCTTTCTGGCAATTATGATCATACTGCAGGATGATACAGTATTACAGCAAGGTAAACCTGTAATTGTCCCTGAAAGCAATACATTTACTTAAATATGAAAAAGAAAAATATTTAAAGCTAAAACTGATCATAATTTTCCACCTGCATGAAAAGGTCAGCATCTGTCAGAATATAAATTAGTCTAATGGAATTTGACAAAAAGCCCCTCACAGAGATGTTTTACATGTTTCAGCTCTGAAAGCCCCCTGGTTTCCACCTGGTAAATGAATTATGCCTCTAGAATAGTAAATAGTTTCTCATTATGTAGCATCACTGAAGAAGTAGAATCAAGAAATATATATGGAAAAATAATGTGTAAGGAGGAAAAAAAACACAGGGCAAGCTGGCACACAAATAAGTGAGGTGAGAGCTACTTCAGTGCTGTATGGGCTCAATCACCCAATATTTCTGATCATATTGTTAAAGCAGGGGTTAGTGCATGTTTACTTTTTACATTTTGAAAGATTACAATAGTATCATGCTCACTCAGTGTTAAATAACTATTGTGTCATGTCCATACAGTAATCAATCAATCGATCAATTGATACCTTACACTTACATAATGATTTGGACACTCCACTCAAGCAGTTTACTGGTAATGGGGACTCCCTTCCACTACCACCAATGTGTAGCCCCCACCTGGATGATGCGACGGCAACCAAAGTGCGCCAGTACACTCATCACACATCAGCTATCAGTGGGTAGGAGAACTGAGTGATGAAGCCAATTAATAGATAGGGATTATTAGGTGGCCATGATTGGGGAATTTACTCTCCTCGAAATACACCATAGTAGTTTTAATGACTAATCAGTACCTCTCTTTTAAGTCTCATCTGAAGGACAGTAGTCAACTTACCTGGCTGTCAATTATTATGCAGTTGATATAGCAACGACCTATCAGAGAATCATAAGCAACTTTTGATCTGAAAATGTGTCCAAGCAGCTTGTAGGAGGACCTCTGCAAATCTAACAGGAGCTACAGTATACACTTTATAGAATTTACAGCTTGGAAAAACCAGCCCTACAAAATAACAAACCCCAGTATCTGTATTTAACTGGACTTCCTGCGACTTGCAGTAACAGAAAGCAATTTTCCAATTAACTTGGAATGGTGGCAAGTAAGCCGCCATGTTTTCCTTAACACATTCTTACTATTAACGAAACCTTCCTTAACAGACAGAAGTGCTTTATTTGGAACCATTGCGGAGGACAAAATGCTAACTCTATCACCGTATTGGAAGGAAAGGAAAATGAGATATGATGTGGGGCATGAGTTATTTTTAATTTACGAGAAGAACAATATGCTTTGGTAATTGCATTCATTGTTATTTGATACAGTAAAACTATTTTAATTTTCATTTATTTCTCTAGATTTCTCTAGACATACTGTATTGAATTTCCAGTCCCTGGATGATGTGAGGAACAAAAACATTTCAAGAGCTTCATTTGTGATATTCTCCACTGGAGTGAAGCTGTGGACTACAAAAGTAGTTTTGAATGATTACTTCTTATCCCAAATTTTTATATTTAAATATACCTACATAACAACCCCATTTATCCTCCCCGTTCCAATTTAATGATATCCTTCTGTCTGAATACCAGACATATTCATTTTTAAATGATGTGTTCAGATATTTTTAAAACTCTCCACCAGTTTCTTGAGAAACTGAAGCAATTCCCTTCTCAATTTTGAGAAGCTCCACCAAGTAACATCAAAGTATTCTCTTTTCCAGGGAGAATGGGAAACTAATTTCTTTAAACTTTCTTATTTTCTTGCTTAAACCCTTGAAAGGGGTAACCACTTTGAAGAATTTTCATCTCCATTCACATTTCTTAAGACTGCTAAACGCTGGGTAATGAATGCTAACCTGGGATTTTAATTTTTTTGTCAGCAACACATGAAGCCAGATTAATTCAACATAAAGATCTAACCACATCAGGATTTATCTCTGACTTGGAATGAGTCTCCGACTTGGTCAAGTCACAGAGCAGCTGCTTTCCAAGTGCTATAAAAGACATGTTGGACCCTCTCATTTACAAATAATGTTGCATAACAAAAGCCCAGTCCCCTGGGCACCTTATCCTACTTTAAATTCAACGCTTAAATTCACTTTTTTCATGGCTGTATTTGAAGCCGGAGTGTTAATAGAGCTGTGGTCTTAATCCCTTCAGCTGCACAGCCATTCACCAAATCCCTTTAACAAGGAAAAGCATATCTCTAAATGGAGTCGATTATGATAATTAAGAAGGAAGTAAACAAAAGAACATAGCTTACACTATCATTTTTTTTCAAGAAGATTTGACTGTATTTTATTTTATTTGACTGTATTTAAGGTTCCCCCTCAACCCCCACCAAAAAAAAAAAAACATCTCAATTTCTTACTTCCTGGTTCAGTAAGGCTGTGGCAAGTTTCTGCACTTCTGATGTCAGCAGGGATGTGCCCCGTATGACTTTACTGAGAGCTGCCAGGGACTGGTGGATACTCTGCACTAAACGAATGGCGTTGAACTGCTCCAGGATGATGAAGGACAAAACAGGGGAGGCCTGGCTCTCGCTGGGAGGTGCTACCTTCTGATGAATCAGTGAAGAACCCTGAAAAAGGTAAAAATCGCATTAATCACAAGAAGCCTCCCACTCAGCTTATTAGCAAAAAGAATATTTTACTTATTTTGTGCCAAAGGAACAGTTACATTTTTATTCCACACACAATTGTGTCTGTCAAACTCTGTGATTTAATAAAGAAACAAAATAAATACTTTACAGTAACAAGTTTTACAACAAAATGAGTAATTACCTAAAATGACAAATAATGTGTATAGTATTTATAGAGGTCTGCTGCATTTGGTCTCTGTTGCAAAAATGATGCTATATATCCATATTTAAGCAGCTGAAGCAGCAGTAATATATTCAGCTAGAGGAACTACAGCCTTTGTAAGAAAAATTAAATTATAGCTGTAATGTTCAAACTTCTTTTGAAGAATATTGTGAATGCAGCCTAGGCTACATTAATGGGTGAGTAGGGACCGAAAGGGAAAGAAAAACTCATTTTTTTTCACTAATATGCTTTCAAATACATTCTGAACATTTCCCCTCCTTTTCTTTTTCTGTAACACTTTCTATAGATGAGAAAACCCGGGCTCTGTTCCCTGGCAGTGTTCATTACCTATCATCTTCATAATGTACCACTCTCTCTCAAGTGCTGCACTAAAAAGTCAGAGTTGTACCAGTGAACAGAAATGTGTCTTGCAGTGCTGCTCCTCTTTATTGGACTAGAAGCAATCTGGTCAGACAATTGCCACAGTGCACATGTTCTTAGATGTTCTATCACAGCAGTAACCCAGTGTAACAATCAAGTGACCTGTCATTAACAGTATTGTTCATTTAAGTAGAGCGCTTCTCACTCAGTGGTTGAGCTGCCCCAGAAGCAGTGGTTTTAGAACGTTATGTAACAATTTGTTTAAAAATTGTACATGTGTTGTAAACTTTTGCTCTTATGGTTTCTTTCCTCTGCTGCACATGTGTAACTCAGCAATGTCTTCTTTTGAACACAATTATAATGGCAGTCAAATTGCAGGATCATTTGCTGGAAATATGTTCTGTATTCTGCCAAGTGGTCAGATCAACCATGATATTACAACAACATTTAATGATGTGCAATGTGAAAAGAATGTTGGTGGAGTGTTTTTCAGAAGCAATTTTACCCCAGGCAATTATAAATCTAACACTGCAGGAGGCAACAACAAACCTGACCTCCATGATGGCTTCTCATTGATCTGACCAAAACATTTTACAACTAAAGAAACAGCAATGGTAGATTAAATAGACCAATCCTATAGAGATGTGATTCAAAAATGAGTCAAACTTTGCAGCTCTTGCCCCTGAAATGACTGTGCGGACGACAAAAACATTGATTAAACAGCTACAGTAGGTCCTCTTTCTTTACATTACATTTTCCGCTGTAATGAACAAAGAGGAATTAGTCTTTCCTGACTGTAACTTAATTAACTTCATCACATTTATTTTTGTGATTGTATTTTTCTGTTTTTATAAGAACAAACATATATTAAGACATCTATTACCACTTTTCAATTCAATTCAAAATACTTTATTCCCCTTTATACATTTTAAAACACCAGCCAAAAACCATGATTAAGATATAACTGCCAAAATACAGCAAAATAATTCACTAACATTCTAGTGCAATAACTAGGGTAAAATAAACAGGTGTCAATTTCACCTAGAAAATTGATTATTGAGTTGCAGTTTGATCACTAAAAACGGAATACAGCATTCTGGCAGGTTCTCTACATTCTCTTGTATGAGATATGCTAATAGTGTTTGTTACTGAGAAATTGACAGGGACCACCAATTAATTACAAAGCACTTAGATACCATATATTCTATTAATAGCTCTATGAGCAATTTATGTAAAAGGCCTCCTAATTTTCCGCATCATTTTTATTCTGCAATTAAGCATTATAGAGGTTTATATAAGCTTATACTGTTGATAACATTGCAAATAATGAAGCATTCTTCTTCAGAAATAAATACTGTAATATTCAATCCTTTTGAGATTGTATATAGCCCTTAATTAAGGAGGAAAACTGTTAATTAGGTTCTTTGTCTAATGAGAAATTAACAGATCACTTAACATTTAAGCAAACATACTGTATTGCTAAAAATACTTAAGGGAAAAAAGAACCAAATGAAAACATTTAGCTGTATCGAAATATAACAATAGATTTAATATAAACAGGATGTGCTTCAATTGTTTGTTTTAAAAAAATAAAACTAATGTAACTGGATATTTTTACAAGGTTACCCAAATTTAATGATAATGATGGGCAATCGTGATTAAAAAACACAAATAGATATGAACAACGATATTTACAAGATTAAATAAATACCATAAATATTAGGGCTGTGAAGTGAGGTTTAGGGTTTCACTCCATTTCAGGACTCATCAAGTTAGAACTTTATCACTATCCAGATCACTACCTTATGTCCAAGAAGGAAAAAAAAATCTCTACTACTGTATGTTTACTCTTCTGTACTTGTACAGATACTGTACTTTTCTGTTTCAAGATGCAGTGTATGGATTACTCTTAATTAAGAAGCTTGCTAAATATAGGCATGCTGTGCATGAAAAAGATGCCATGCTGGAAAATATGTAACACTCAAGATATAATCAAGATATGCAAATCAACATAAGTAGACCGAATTGAAGTACTGCTTGGGAAGGCACATTGAAAGTGAGAAACCTCATTTAACTATATTTAATTTCCTAATATCAAGGGAAGAGTTTAACTAGAACAAGAATAGGCAATTTAATATGATATGATTGATTATTTTCTTTAATAATAAAATGGTAGTCAAAAATGATCATTTACCAATGTCAAATAACAAGAGAAAAGAGAAATGAACTTGATCTGAAGTAAATTAAATCACTAACTCTTACGTAAGTGATGGGACAGAATAGAAATTCCTCCTAACCACTCAACATTTAGTCATAGCACATATTTTAAACCAGAAAACACAGGAAGCTTTCCAGATTTGACACATCTTATGCATGACCAAAGACATTAGAACAAAAAGCCATCGTTGCCTATTAAATATAGACATACTGCACAAGAAAGAAAAGTTTGAACAGAGTGGTAAATAAGATATTTCAAACTTATCAGTATGAGTCTTGAACCCATCAGGATCAATCATAACAAAATATTAGCACACTCTTGGTGAGAACTGAGTGAATCCCCAGACACCAACAACATGGTTGTGTGCTGTGAATTCACAATGAGTCATCTTAGGTGAGTACAATCGCATTAGGTAACTCAGACATAGCTTTCACTTCAGTAATTTGCTGAATGTAATTAACATAAGGTTAACACAAATTTGAAAAGCCCATATGAGAAATACAGTCTAATGTTGTACAAGTTGCTACAAGCAGAACTGAGAGACCTTTACTGAAAGTAAGTCTGAGAAAGACACAAGAATGCCTGTATTGTTTTTTCGCTTGCATGTTTAAATTTTTGTGGTCAAGAGAGTACTTTACAAATATCAAAGGGGCTGATGCTGCTTGAGGCACCTATCTAAACCCGGTTTATCAGCCTCATAGTTGTCATTATTACTATTGATGTTATGCAACCATTATTGCATTACAGAAAGGCCTGGCTTGCTCAGTAACTGGCTGCTGATTATGCCTGCAGACCTGCGCCAGAGCATGTGTGTTTCACTACATAAAAACTGCTCCCTGGCATCAGTCGCTAGCATGACCACAGATTCTTAATGTCTAAAACATTCAAATTCATTAAAACCTACTCTGATGGTTTATCCTCCCCACCACAGGCAGGCTGCTGCTTGGACAATGAAACAAATTGTTATAAGGAAATCTTCAGAACAGAGTGAGAGCAGATGAAAAATAGTTTGGAGGATGTATTAACAGCGTTCAGAAAAAGATTAACAAAAATGGAACCCACAAAATATCCAGACACTTCAAACAGGCTTGGTCAGTGTTCAGTACAAGCTCTTACAAGCATATCTATTCACTCTGACTCTCAACTGTGCACAGCCTGTAGTGCCTTATTAACTGTTAACAGATTGTTTATGTCAATTTTACATTAAATGCCACAACATATATAAACATACATTAAAATAAATATTAACATGAAAGAAATGCACAAAACATAAATATTAAACATATATTCAACATAGAGCATTAATTTAATTATAGCAATAATTACTTTAACTACAGTATATAAAGGTTAATCAACAAATGGTGTGGCTTATTAAGGTAATTTTGCACACCTAAATTAATTTAGGTTTGCCACAGCAAGGGGTTTAAATATGTATATAATTGTGACTTTTCCTTTTTTTATTTCAATTAAAGAATTGGTTCTTTCTTTCTGTTTTGCTTTCAATGTATGGAGTAAGTTGGGCACATAAATATTAATTTATACAGTAAAAAGGAGAATGAAACAAAGATTAAGTTAGTGTTTTGGTATTTCTCAAGTACTGAAATATAAATTAATACAAGACGCTTTTTTGCAGGCAGAGCTGTACTTTATAACCTATCTTGGCTACAAAAAAGAAAAAGAATTAGTACAGAAAAAATACTAATAAAATGTTTGAAATTGTAAGTCTTTTGATTTGATTGTTTATGTTATGATGTTGGTTGTGTTTATAAGAGACCCAGCGCCACGAGGGGAGCAAAAGGGGGCGTTGCCCCCTCAACTGAATTGCCCCGCCCCCTGTTTTTGACAAAAGTATTTTTGAACACTTTAGCTTGCTTAACTTACGCCCTAAAAAATAGTTGTACTTTGTGAATTGTCAGATAACTACACTAATCACGAATTCACAGTTACTACATAGGACTGTTTGATGTGCAGGCAGGCTATCCGTCCAGGAACGGCACATATTACACAGTGTCTATGTTATTGGGTGTCAACATTATTACAATCTTAGTAGTTCAGGTGGGTAGCTGCGTCAGCATGCGTAGGCTGGCATGGAATAAACCTATTACTTGTTCCTTATTACAATCTTGTTTGCTCAGGTGGACCGATTCCTTGCAGTAGTTTATCCTTATACTTACAATCGTTATATAACTAGGACTGTAGATACAGAAGTTGGTGCTTTCTGTTGGTTTGACAACTATTTTTTCTTGACAATTCAGAACCTCGTTACCGTCGATGTAACTGCAAAAATGAACGGATATGGTATTTTGTCGCTCCAGGCAATAATAATCGCAAGAGTGTTTTGGAACGTGAAACTGTACTTCATTGCTAAATACCAGATTGCTTGTCATTATCTTCTATCATGAAGCATCAGTGGCAAGGTTGTGAGATTTCACTTGTGAAGTTGCAACGGCTCTATTTCAACCGAAATTTGACTGCTCTCTTCAGAATTTCAGACGCCTCCCTACAGATTTTTCCCCTGGCGCTGGCCCTGGTTTAAAATATTCATGATTTAAGAGTTAAACAGTTCTATGTCACACTTCAATGAATCTTGATGAAAACTATCTCATTTACACTGTACCTCCTCACCCCTCCCAAAAACGTTCTCTTAAAGTTATATACAAGATAATACTTTACCTACTCTAATTTTATAGTCACAAAAAAGTCTATCTGAATAAGGGGTACAAGAGAGGGGCATTATTCTTTCAGACTCACAATGCAACCTAGCACTGTTGTTCTGTACTTTTTGAAAACTTGAAATATCCTGTAAAGCCAACTGAGCAAACAAAATATATTATGATGAAATAATAAAATATATTATGAAAAATGACATTGTGTCATATGGGAAGGAATACATTTGGAAAAGAAATAATCTTGCAATTGAAAATAGAGACATCCATCTTGGTGGGCTCATTACTTTAGCTGCTAAATGACTTATTAAGGGTTCTAACATCTGCAGTCTTAAATATATTTTAGTCTTCTAATACTCAGTTTAGCAATTAGAATAACAATGAAAAAGAAAACAAACGGCTCAATATAACAATAATTTACATAATTTACAACCTTTTGGTAAAGACAAGTTGTATGTGCTGTATTACTTTGTATTTTAACGTGGCAGAGGTATTTTGGTCGATTTTGTTTCAATATTCTAAAAATATAAAAATATCAAAGTGAAAACACAAACACATAACAACTACATAAGGAAAAGACACAAAAAAAGCAATGTGTCTTTTCATCTGTGTATTATCTTACCTGATTAAGTTTCTTCCACAGGTTGAGGATAGGGGAGAGCTCATTTGACCAGATTTCCCTATCAAACTTAGAACCTGCAGTGATGGATCTGCTCAAGATTCGCAGCTGAGAAATCACCTGGCAGAATGGAGAAATGGGGACAGGACATTAATGTTTCTTTATGAGCTTTCATTGGACAGCATTCTAAAAAGAAAACACAATGTTTAAGGAAAATTGCTCCATCACTGTTTTTTTTTAAGAGTTGGTCATTCTGTGTACTTTTTGTTCCTGTAAATTACCGAATAAGAAAAAAAGGAAATAAAAAATTAAAAAAGTACATCTCATCCAATGAAACTCGGAAATTACATTCCTGTTACTTCAAGTTATGATCTCTGATTGGTTCCAGAACTCAAAAATCTTCCCTCAAACACCCAAACATCACTTTAATTTAGCACAGAATGGTACCTAAATATGAAAACATAATATTCCTGGTTAATTTTTCAAGAACACCCCTGGTCATTTACAGTACAGTAGTTACACTGAAAGGATTCTTGGCAATGGCAAATCTACTCCCTGTACATTAGAGAGGGACTCTGTACATTATACTATAATGAAAGATGATTAGTGACAGAACACATTTAAATACCTGAAATTTAGTAAAAAATGAATGTGTTTCTTTAAAATGACATGATTACTTTTTATTGGAACCTGATTGAGTTGGTTGTTCTGTGGTACAAGATACGGAGGCCTAAGTGCAAAGCATGCTGTTGACAGTTACATTTGTTATAGCCACCCAAGTTGGAATAAAGAACTTTGGTCATTCATGTCTCAGCTTGAAGCTATAATCCGCACAATCACAAACAGGAGAATGACAGACCTACCCACATTGGAGTCACTTGTTTCTTAGCATGCAACAGGCAGCACAGCCCTGCGCTGGGGGGGGAGGGTAGCACACATTGAAAGAGAGCTGCATTCATAGAAGCCCATACCCCCCCCAGGAAACCACAGGAGATGGGGTGGAGTTTACGGTTAATCCTGGATGACAAATCCCACTTTACCCTCAGTGGACCTTAGCTAATAGTGCACCACCTTATGGAGCATCCTTGTCATAGTGACATGACTCATACCTGTCACTATAAAGCTCAAGATCAGGTTGTGAAGGGGTGAGTTCGAAAACTATTTTCTTCAGCACATTTGCCACTAGAATTTCCTGGTTAATTAGTAAATATGGTAAGCAAAAGGTGTTTAAGGCAACAGTGGTGCTTAAAGAGAAATAAGATAGTCAGGTCTTGAAAGACTGTTTTACTAGCTATTTTCTGATTGATTTTTCCACTCCTCCAAGATTTATGAACACGCAGTGTTTCATTTTCTTTCCTTTCTCTGATAAATTATTTTCATTTGGTTCGGCTGAACCTTACACTAACATTCAATTCATCAGACTTGCCTAAAAAACATCTGTCTTCCAGGTTCCTCATTCAGGTATTTCAACTATCCATTAACTATCAACTACTGTACATCATGATGAAATAATTAAAAACATTTTATAACCACAAAATACACTAACACAAGAATGGTGGTAGCAAGAATACTATTAATACATAGAATCTATTAGTGTTGTTATTGCAACTGATATTTCAATTTTAATCAGATGATGCAAAAGTGATTCAGCTGATTTTAAGTATACTGTAATTAATCTCACGCCAAACTAAGCTGTTGTACTGTTTGTAAAACTGTTGATGGGTTAAAATGCAGCATGGCTAAGCCATTCTTCTACATTCGGACAGCATTACCAGCGGCCCCCGCAGTTGTTCTTAACCTTGGTTATGAGGGACCACTGAGACAGGTGGCATTCATTCCAACTAAGCTCTTCATCACCAGTGTTAAATGATGCCTTTAACTGATCCACTTGCTCGTTATGGATGTTATATTCCTATTTCTTTGTTCAATATTAAAACATATTGTTTCCAGTTCCTTCAACATAGAGAACTTTTAAGCAGTCTCTCCTCAGCTTACTTATTAAGAGACTAAACAACTCCAAGCAGAACACAAAGTGGTCCCCTAGGATCAGGTCCAACCACCTAGATTATATACTAACCTTAACTGCAGTGCAATGTATACATGTGACAGGGGGAGACTGAAGGTCAAACAAAATCCAGTGTGAGTGTTATTCTAACCGGCAATGACAAATGAAATCAAGCAGAAGCCCTGTTTGCAATGTCAGTTTGTAACAACCTCCCTTAATCTGAAGAGGTCTACTATAAATTACATCACAATCAATAGGAGAAACATTCAGTCACAGCTCTTTTTTGACAGCAGTTTTATCCTGAAATCTGAGTGATATATTTGTTCAGAGTTACAGATAGAAACCATAAGAGAGACATGACTTAAAAGACATAACAACACAAGAAAACCACCACATAACACCACACATAGACGTTTAGTTTTTTTGTTTTAATGATTAATGTATTAACACTAGTTGTCAATATAATTCAAATTATTTTCTCTTACAGTACTTTACATTTAGGGTGGCACAGTGGCCAAGTGGTTAGCACTGCTGCCTCGCAGTGCTAGTGACCTGGGTTCAAATTCCTGGGGTGCTATTGGAGTGGAGTTTGCATGTTCTCCCCAATGTGTGGGTTTCCTTCGTGTGCTGTAGTTTCCTCCCACAGTCCAATGATATGCTGGTAAAAATACTGGCTTGTGTCACAATTGGTCCTGCTGTGAGTATGTTCACGTTTGTGTCTGTGGGTGCCTTATGATGGACTAGCATCCTCTCCAAGCTATATCCCTCTTTGCGCTCAAGGCTTCCCAGGATAGCCTCCAGGATACTATGACACTGAACCCAATAAGAGGTTTTTGAAAGGGATGTAATGATATGAGTATTGTACGCTTTATACACAACAAATGTCAAGGGATTCAGAGGTCAGGCTGTCCAGTCCTTCACTGGCATCATCAACTGAGGAAAGGGCAATCTTTTTATAAACTGTTCCTTCAGAAGCCACATGCTTTTTTCAGTAAAGTCCCAGAGTTTCAATCTGGTCGTGACAGAAGAAGGATAACATGGGCCTAGGCAGTGCCCAAAATATAACAGAATCGTGTGACCCATTGAAACGTGAACTAGTGTATGACATCTTGTGATACTGAACACCTTTACATAGCAATGGCAGAGTAACAGAAAAAATATAGTGAAATTTGAATGAGTCAAAATTATTTCTTCTCAGTGTGTCGAACGGCATCACTTAAAACACACCTTTAGCCATTATAACAGCCTATGGGAGACAGATTATACCAGTATTCTATACTAAGGACAATAATTCACATATTGATGTTTCTTAGAAGGAGGTTTGTCAAACAAATGTATCCTCCATCCATGGAACTATGAGATAATTTTTTTTCTTAGGGATAAAACAAAAAACTTGTCAATAAGGTGCTAAGTTACAGTACATAGCACAGATTGCAGTTCTTTGGTCATTAGCAGCGTTGCGCACACTCGGGTCTAAAAGAAAGTCTAAAGCTTATGGTTTCTATCCACTGACCCTGCACATTTTAAAATTAAAATACAAATGAAGTTAGTAGGACGCACTCCAGGAGGGGAATCAGGAAGAGTGCCTGTTTCCATGTAAAAATTCAAAAGAATGCAATACAATGCCTAATCTGGAATTGCTTTTAAAGCTTGATTTTCTTACACAATAAATTAAAATATTAAAGGATGCTCAAAAACCCAAGGGTACATTCTATATCACATTTAGGACAGGTAAACAAAGATTTACAGGGACTGTATCTCTGGTAGCAATAAAGCTCTAACTATGGAACTTGACAGTTAACAGATAATAAAACTGGATTGTGAGAGTTGGCTATATATCTAATATTATAGTTCAATGCTGCTTGAATAATGGTTTTGTTTAAACTATCTGTTTATTAAATTATGTAATCCATGATATTTTTATTTTTCACTGTGAAAAGCTCTATCTTTCCAGCTTTAGCTATATGACAGTTATGTTTATAGCTATATGAAAATTGTGTTTATATTTACCTGTGCAATGTGGTTATTAATAAGAAATCAAACTAATGTTAAAGTACTTATGTACTGCAGTTACAAACAGACAAATCATGTTTAAAAATAATACTCGTCTTTCTCCAGAAAGATTGATTTAATGGTACTTTTATTTTAAAAAGTGTGACAGAAAAATGTTCTTTTTGCTGTAAATCTATTTATGGGAGTTGGCATATTGAAGTATCATCCACACACATCACTCTCCATGAAAGACGCTATGCAATGCACTTAAAACACTCGCTGATGTGATAAAGACATTTCATGCATTATGCCACTTTAATGATATCCAATTCTATTAAAGAAAATATATGGGATAAATTACTACTTAAAAAGGACAACATTCAAAAATTTCTAATCTACTCAGTAGACCCTGAAATTGACAAGGGAAAAAAATCTTTCAATTTCTTCCGAAATTGCTTACATTTGGGAAAAAAAACTATTAATGACACTTGTCAGTCTTCTTCATTATTATTGTTAATTTAGTTTGCTTCTGATTTATAACACCACATCCATAGTATCCCAACCATATTTTTTCCCATGATTACTATTGGTTTGATTTTCCACTCCTTCCTAAATAAGGATCTTTGAGGATTAGGAAGGTCTTCCTACCCACACAGGTAGGATATTAAATACTGTATGCATTCCAGTATAGCTGATATGCAACAAGACAGTTAAGAGTTGTCTGTTTATACTGTATATAAGCTGCCACAGCAAATGCAATCTTACGGCTGTGAGCTCACTATTTGTCACAAACCAGGACTGCTGCAATCCACATTGATGTACTTAGTGTAGAGTATATTTCAAAATATTTTCAGTATACATGCTAATGTTTAACATCTTCCCAATCTATCCTTTCTTCTTCTTCAGCCATCAGCACTCTGCCCTTTGTAATGAATGTCATATTTCATTTAAATTACATCTGCCACATTCTATAGGCAGCTGGGCTCTCAATAACCTGAGCAAAGATCAGATGCTCTAGTGATTAATACTAAGAGTAGCCTAGCTCACAGCTTCTGCTCTTCCTTTCTTTCTATTTTATGTGCTGTACTCAATGACAGTTCATTGTTTAAAAGGACACGATGGC